GAAACCCGCCGGAAAGCTGCGGCGGGAGTGGGGGGAGGAGCTGTGGGCACCCGCCGGCCGGCGAGTCCCGGCAGTCTCCTTTCAGAAGGGCTTTGTTCTCTCTAGTCCCAGGGATGGCACTGGTGGCCATGCTGCTGAAGCCAGTCACCTCGCACAAGGCCTGAGCGGACATCCCTGGATTCATCTTGAAGAGCTGGCCAGGGCGGCCCCTGCGCCCTCCCTGCAGCTGCCCGGCACCTGGCCCTGAGCAGCTGTCCCACCGTGGCTCCTGCCCCACCCAAGCCATCCATGGAGATCAGGAGGAAAGCTCTCGCCCTCCTGTTCAGTACCGGGAGGTGCGGGCTGAGAGCTCAGGGGCTGAAGGGGCCCTCTACCCGACAAACGCAGCGATGGCGGCCAGCTGCAGGATGGCCTCCAGGCCATGCAGCGCCAGGAGCGCAGAACTGAGAGCCGAGTCTGCCCACAGCACCAGGGTCTGCCAGAGCAGGAAGTAGGCTGAGAGGAGGGCGCAGCCAGCGGTGAGGGCCAGGCTGGCGGCCAGCGGGCCCTCGGCCTCCATGAGGTTACCCTTGGTGCCTGGAGGGAACAAAGAGCGAGTGAGGCGGCGCTGCTGGACCAGGGGGCGCTCCCCCGGCTTCCTTCCTCGGGGGCCAGGGAACAACCCACTGGCCGCCCAGAGCGCAGAAGACGGGAGGGGCCAGGGAACAACCCACTGTGGCCGCCCAGAGCGCAGAACATGGGCGGTGCGAGGCCCGCAGTGAGGGCGCCATGGCAGCTGCGCAAGGTGGCCGAGTCTAGCCCCGGGTCAGCGGTGTGAGCAGTTAGAACACGTAGCTTCCAAAGTGACCCATGCACATTAGCCACCTTTTCCGAACTCCAAGTTGGACTGAACAGAGAGATTTTGTTTAAAACTTCCAAAAATAATTGACTCTGGGCTAAGGCCAGTTTGGAAAATTTTCATGAATACTTATAAAAAACAAAACTGCATGTTTTAAAATGGGTCAGTCATGGAGAATGCTGATTGCTGGCTGCCACAGGCTGACCCCAGGTGCCCCGAGTCCGTGGTGCACCCAGGGAGGTCCCGTGTGGCTCTCACAGCTCCCCCGTGGCCTCTTGAAAAGCTGGCCAAAACCCAGCCACCCATCCAGTGCAGCGTCTGCGCCCTCCTGGGGAACCCTGCCATAGCTCCGGCACTTCAGACGGACACTGAAGGCCAAGGACACGAGCCTCCTCCGGCCCAGTCGGGGCAGAGGTCTAAGAGGCAGAGCAGGGCTGACCCCTGGCACCTGTGCGTGGGGGGCTCGCATGCCTGAGGGCTTCAGGTCATTGTGGCTGGTGTGCCCTGGAAGTGCCCCCCGTTGGATTCCCAGTGGCTGGGCCATGTGCACAGGATGATCCCACTTGAGAAACATGCGCTTCCAGGCACCACCCCGTGGCTGTGAAGGACAGGAGGGCAGGGGTGAGGGTTGGAACCCTGGGCCTGTGCCGGTCATGGTGAGCTCCAGGGAGGAGGCGTTCCAGGTTTCCCTTCAGCATTTCCTCGAGCCCTGTGCCTGAATGGTGTGGCTGAAGAAAGGGGGCTGGCACACAGGGCACTTGGAGTGGGAGCAGCCCCTGCCCTGGGGGACCTCACTGATTCC